TTACATGTCTTCCATTTAGGCTTACTATTCTTATTTCCAAAGAATTTCATACAACTCGCAATCAGTGTGTCAAAAGAGAAATCACAAGATGAGTTAGAAAATATTTTGAGAATGAAAACAAAAACACAACCTATCAAAACTTATAGAATGCCACAAAAGCAGTGCTTAAAAGTAAATTTATAGCTGTAAATGCCTACATTTTTACAAGAAGGAAGGTCTCAGCTCAGTAACTTCACTTTATAACTTAAAGACCTAGCAAAGAAGAGCAATCTAAATGCAATGGTAGCAGAAGGAAGGAAATAGTAAAGATTAGAGCAGAGAAGATAAAATAGAGAATAGAAAAATTAGAGACAGTTAGTGCAAAAAAATAAAGTGCAAATAACAATTTAGAACTACAAATGGGAACATTACTCTGACTTTACAGAAATAAAAATGATTATAAGAGAATAGTACGAATAATTGTGTGCCAACAAATTGGATAATCTACATGAAGTGGAAAAAATTGTAGAAACACACAAATTACCAAGACTGACTCAAAAAAATTTAAAATTCTGAATAGATTTAGAACAAGTGAGAAGATTGAATCATGAATAAAAAACCTCCCAATAAAGAAAAGTCCAGGATGATATGACTTTACTGGTGAATTCTACCAGATAGTTAAAGAATTAACACCAATTCTTTTTGGACTCTTCCAAAAAATAGAACAGGAGGGAACACATCAAAACTGATTCCGTGGGGCCAGCATTGCCCCGATACTATACCCAGACAGATACCACAATAAAATAAAATTACAGACCACTATCCCTTATGAATATAGATGCAAAAATCCCCAACAAAATGTTAGCAAACTGAATCCAAGAGAAAATTAAAAGGATTATACACTGGGACCAGATGGGATTTATCCCAGGAATACAAGGGAGCCTTAACATGAAATTCAATCAATGTAATTCACCATGTTAAAGGAATAAAGGGAGCTGGGCGTTTGGCGCATGCCTGTAATCCCAGCTACTCAGAAGGCTGAGGCAGGAGGATCACTTGAGTGTGGGAGTTCAAGACCAGCCTGGGCAGCATAGTGAGACCCTTTCTCAAAAGCAGAAGAAGAAAACATTTTTTAAAAATAAAAAAATAAAGGAATGTAGGGGAAAAAACCCATGATCATCTCAAATAATGCAGAAAAAGCATTTGACTGTTTTCATTTTGTCATGAAAAGAAATTGAATCCTCTCAGAAAACTAGGAATGGAACTTCCTGAACATAATTAAGGGCATTTATGAAGAACCTGCAGCCAACATTATAATCAATGGTTGAAGACTGAAAGATTTCCCTCCGAGATCAGGAACAAGACAAGGATGACAGCTTTCACCACTGGTATGCCACATTGTGCCAGAAGCTCTAGTTAGACAAATTAGGGGAGAAAAATAAAAGGTATCCAAGTTGGAAATGAAGAAGTAAAACTATTTCTATCTGCCGATGACATGATCTTATATATAGAAAATCCCAATGAGTCCTGAAGACAAACAAACAAAAACAACAACAAAACAAAACTACAGATAATAAACAAATCCAACAAGTGGCAGGGCACAAAATCTGCACACACAAAAATCAGTTGTTTCTATACACCCTCAACGAACAATCCAAAAAGGAAATTAAGAAGACAATTCCATTTGCAATAGCACCCAAAAGAAAAAGATACCATGCATAAACTTATGTAAAGAG